AACAATAAATAGATTCCTAGTGGTGGTTAAGGGGTTTAAACTAGAAGAAAAGAGTTTAAAGCCAACAGCAATAAATAAGAGACTTATCATACATCTTCAAACATGATTTAATAGGAGGTTCCATACATATACGCATATGCCTTGTCATCAATCTCCATTCATTGGCATACATACATGCATCAAACTAATAGATAAATGAGAGTAATCGGATGAGGAACGGTCATACCTCTTCAAGTAACATAAAATAGGAGGTTGAATACAGATACGTATGTATCTTTTCATCAATATCCATCCATTCATTAGCCTGCATAGATGCATCCGAAGTATTTCAGTTTCCTGAAGCAGGGACTTTCAATGTTGAGAAGAAGGGTTATAAACCTTCCAATTTCTCCATGTTGAGAGCCAGATAACTTTATGGCTTCCATAGAAACACATACTAGAAACAAAGCAGCACACCGAAAATATAGCTCGATGTTTGACGGACCTTTGCGGAGTCCGGAAGTTCGAATTCTGATGCACAACTTCTTAAGAAAAAATTCGATTGCAGAAGGAATTGAATATGTGAGGCAACTTGATGTTTGACGGACCTTTGCTATATATCTTGATCTTGATTTGATTTGATAAATGAGGTAACTTGATAATAGTACAGATTATAAAAGACGATAATAAGTGAAGCTGACTAGAAAAGATTTATATAGTGCCTTAAAATGACATAAAACCTTAGTTGTATTCATAAGAAAGAAGCAATTGAAAATGTGATGTATACTCAAACTTACTTGTGAATCTAACATAATTATTAAAATGAAAATTTGGATAAATTGTATTATCTCAGTATTGAATGCCATAGAGCTAAAATACCAAATTGTAATAAGTTGTGTCTTGGACTTGATGGTGGTTATGAAATTACAAAGCATGTTTTATATATTTGTATTGCTTATTATTCATTAGTTGAAATTATGCACCATTGAGTTTGAAACTCGGCGTGTGATTTTTTTCTCATGCATAAGTATCATTCGTGAAGTCTGCAGTTAGATCAAGAATGTTGCATCATCAATCGAGTCACGATTACCTCTAGTAAACGGTATGTGTCAACCATTTTTAGTCCTCGTTGTAAAGTGACATGTACAAAAGTCTTGTCTAATTGAGTTTAATACATGAATTCATATTTTAATATGGTTTGTTCTATGATATTCGAATTGGTGCTACATGATGATCCATTTGAGTATGAAATTCTACAATCTATGTCTATATGATAGATGCCATGTTATGTTGTGATATTCTTGTATTTTGGTGAAAATGCCATATTCACCTTGTTAAATAGGTTCCGGTATATATACATTTTAAGACTGTAAACTTGTATTAATTGAATAGGATAGAAAAGAGAAATAAGAAGAAAGGGTGTCCAATCATCTCAATAGCAATATCATATTCGGAATCGCCATCATATCTTGTCCACAATGGCCTTTTAATGTTGATTTTTCCGAAGTCTTACAATTACTTATGATGGTTCCGACGATAACAATAAACAAGATGAAATCTAAAGATTTTCAATTCGATCTTATTCATTTCTCATACATTGAGTTGTACTCAAATTACTCAGTTCGATTGATTGCATCAAATGATGTTAAATCTTAACTGCCTTCGTATCCAAAAATGGTACAATAAAAAAGTTTCACTACAAATATCATGTTGGAGTTCAATGACACTCTATCAAAAGGTGTATTAACTTTAGCATCAAACTTAAAACCTTCTAAATTGTGGCGTTTTGGAATTCAAAACAAAGAGCTAAGTCTATCAAAATCCAAAAATTAAATATCAATCACTTGATCAGGATTAATACAATCGAATCAGAAGAGGATCAAGTATTGAAAAACATTAAAGAATATAAAAAAATAGATGCGACTGAGGAAAAAAATACAAAGCAAAACTAATTTCTCGTCAACATCTATCACAAAAGATATCTCGTTTAAATGCAACATTCAAAATATTTCAAGTATTTATCTCAAATTTACTTCCTTGCCTGATTAAATATTGGTGTATCACTCAAAAGCCTTTGAAAGTAATGGTCTAATCAATGCTTACGACTTTCACATGAGGCATCAATCAAGACACCATATTAAAAAATGCATATTATTGATGGAAGAAATAGAGAAGCTCATTTAGATTGTAATGCTAACATAAGAATTTGTTGAACAATAGAAGGCAGACCAAATGGCGCAAGCTATCGTGGCGACTAAGGGTTTGATAAGTCAGATTGAATGTCACTCCAATCAAAATTATTAGTTAAAAAAATTTTGATTAATATATTATTTTACATAAAAAAAATTAATAGTCAATATTAATTAGATTGTTTTTAAATATTAAGTTCATGTTTAGGTTATTTTTTGGGCTCGTGGCTTTTTTTTGTTTGAGTTTTTAGGGGTTTGAACTATCTCAGGTTTGAATTTTTTTCGAGTTTATTTTTTTCAGGTTTGGACTTTTTCAAATTTGAGTTTTTTTAGTCGAATTTTTAAGTTTGAGTTCATTTTGTTACATCTAGTTGATGGCCAATTATATACTAACTATTTAGTTATCATGTCACGCCATCTTTTTAACGACATTTAACATTACATGATCAAAATGTATTTTTTCATAAATTCATTAAATATTTCATAAATTTTCAAAGGCTAGTGACTAAAATAAAAATAATTCATCGTTTGGTGACTAAATATAGAACTAGGCCTTTTAAAAAGACAAACTACCTTCTATAAACAAGTGGGTCAATTACAAAACTCCTATTTGTGAAACGGGTCGAGCATCACCGACCCCTTTTCCAAAACCTTAAATATATTTTAGAAAAGAGAAAATAACTTGAATGACCGAAAATGCCTTATAATATACGATTTTAACCAACTTTTTTTGGATTTGTAAAAATAACCAACGAATTTGCAACTCAATTTCGAATTTGCAACACGAACTCCAATTTCGCAACACAGTTTCCGAATTCGCAACTCGAATTTAGAATTCACAACTCGAATTTGGAATTCGCAATACAGAATTTGGAATTCACAACACATAAGTCGAATTCGCAACTCGAATTTGACAATTTCGCAACACGAATTTCTTTTTCGCAACTCGATTTTTAAATTCGTCACTCTAGTTTCCTTTAAGCAACACGAGTTTCAATTTAGTAACACAAATTTTGTTTTCGCAACTCGATTTTAGAATTCGTAACACGAATTAAAATATCGCAACTCAGCTTTTAATTTCACAACACAAATGTTTTGGGTATATCCCCTAAATCGCAACTCAGTCCCATCTCCATCTCTCACTCTCTCCGGCGACATTCGTCCCCATCTCCGGCGACCCCCCTCTATCTCCATCTCTCACAAACACCCTCTTACAACCATTCACGGCCACAAATGAAAAATCAACCACCGAGGGTTAGTTTTCTTTTGAAATTTTTGTATTATTATTAGATAATTAATCATTTTCATATTTAAATTGATGTTAAATTTACTCGTAATTTAAATTCAATATAACATTTTACATATAATATAGATAGATTAACCATTTCACTTACATTACTTAGTAAATTCATTCGGTTGTTGTCAATACTGCTAAACAATTGTTTAGTTTTTAACCCTGTGAAGTTAGTATTTGGTAAATAGACTTACATTATGTCATCGCCCTATGTTTTGTTGGTTGAAGTAATGCACTTCATTCAAGCTTCAATTTGTAGAAGAAGAGTAGTTTATTCATCGCAACATGAAAATCGCAACTCAAAAATGAATTTCGCAACTCAAAAATGAAAATCGCAACTCGAAAATGAAATTCAGGGTCTACCTCCCATTATTCAGGATTCACCTCCCATCGTTCAAGAGGCCCCTCCCATCGTTCAGGATCCACCCCGCATCGTTTAGGATCTACCCCGCATTGTTCAGGATCCACATTCCATACTATGTAGATATATTGGTAAACCCCCTCTTGTGCCTGGTATGATGTATATGGTATGGCTTTCGTATCAATTACCGGTCAGTACCATTCCTCAGCACGAGATATGCACACTACCAGACACAGTTAAGGATAATACCGTTTGGGCTAAGACCGCAGTTGATTTTTATTTACATGAGCGAAGCAAGGGGTGCTTCACCGACATATGCAAAATCTACCATACACATTTATTTCTTGAGCGGTCTTGGTGGGGTATTTTATTAGGGGTTGAAGAAAATTGTTATTTCGAATGGTGAGTAAGTATTATATTCTTTTTATATTGATTTTGAGTATTTTTTTAATTTATTAAATTCACTAATATATGTATTTTTTTTATAAAACAGCATATTGATGCATGGTAACACAACTTCTGATTTTAAGGAAATTGAAGAAACTCAAAAAGACGCGATGGACTATTATGCCTTTGTCTTTTCACGCAACTCACTTGCAGGATCAGAGAGACGCTTCATATGCGTTAGGTAATGACAAAGCTATCATTTATCCTGAGTGGTGGGAGGTCGATAAGGTTAGTATTTATTTTTGCATATTTAAAGGTGTTCATCAAATTTATTTGATGTGCACAGTTGAAGTATTATTCATTTAATATTGCAGATGTTTATCCCTGTTATGGAACGTGGTCATTGGATTCTCATCGAGCTTCAGCTCCCATCACTGAAGACGATAATATATGACAGCATATTGAATTACATATCATTGTCTGCTTTGAAAGATATTATTTGTAGGGGATGGACAGATCTTTTGTCTAAATACTTGTATGTGATTGATTATTGGACTAATTCAGGAAATGAGAAGCCGAATAAGTTAAAAGTTATAATAATGAGAGACGAGACAACGCCACAACAAGCGTCAATAGCCAGAGGGTGATTATAAACAATCTATTCAGTTCCAAAAACTAGATGAAGAGAAGAGAAACATACACTTGGAGGTTGGTATCCACTAGTTTACCATTTAATTGAGTATGAACAATATACTTTTGGAATTTATGCTTGAATGCAACATGTCAAATTGTTAGAGGAGGCAGAAGAGTTGAAATTTCAATATACGATATTGTTGTTGGTGATGTTGTACCCCTCAATATTAGTGATCATGTATGTGGCTTTATCAAGTTATTTTTAAATTAGTTTATTTTGAATGCATTTTGTCTGAAGTTCTAAATCTGCTCTTTAGGTCCCTGCTGATGGAATTCTAATCTCTGGTCATTCACTTGCACTAGATGAATCTAGTATGACAGGAGAGAGTGATATTGTAAGATTTACTACCTGTCGCGTTATTCAATGAAATTCGTACACTTGCATTTTTGAAATTATTATTTGATCTAGACATAGGTTCACAAGGATGCCAAACGACCTTTTCTAATGTCTGGCTGCAAAGTGGCAGATGGAAGTGGGACTATGCTGGTAATCTTTGCTCTTAAGGTTCTTTCAATGACTTAGGTACTTCACCGGCCATTTCTCGAATTCAAGATGGAGAAAACTCATTTGTTGAAATCCAGATTTGTATTTGTTAACAAATGTAAACCAAACAGAACCTGAGAAATGCCTTAGGTAGGCTTGTAGCAAAAAAATCGTACTTCACTATTTTCTTTTTGCAATAAGAATGAGACATTCTTATGAATCTGCTTGTCTGAAATACTTTGTGCAATTTGTTTAGCGAAAGCATATTGCTGGACTTTGCTATAATTTATTCAAGAAAATCAAATTCGCAACTCGAAAATCGAATTCGCAATTCGAAACTTGAATTTGCAACATGAAAATCGTAACTCGAAAATGAAATTCGCAACTCGAAAACGAAATTCGCAACTCGAAAACGAAAATCGCAACTCAAAAATGAAATTTGAGTTGCGAATTCAAAATTCGAGTTGCGAATTTTATTTTCGAGTTATGATTTTCACGTTGTGAATTTGAGTTTCGAGTTGCGAATTTGAGTTTCGAATTGCGAATTCGATTTTCGAGTTGTGAATTTTATTTTCGAGTTGCGAATTTGAGTTGCGATATGTCTGTAAGAACAATGAATCAGCTATGTCTGTAACAGTATACTGAATGAAAATAGAATCTCCATAAGATAAAAATTCCATTAACATATATTTACTATTAGAAACCAAATCTAAGAAGTTTATGAGTCATCAAGTAAAAGTTTACCACAGATTCATGTCTGCATAATACAACGTTTGCATCTAAAAATCACCTAAGTTAATAGTCCCAAAAGGTGAAGGCGATTGTGATTGTGATTGTGATTTTGATTTTGATTTTGATTGCGATTTTGATTTCCCTTTACTTGGCACCATATGAGTTTTGGATTTTGATGAAGATCCATATTTTGGTGGAGGAAAATATGATTATGATGGCACTGGTGATCCACATGTCAACATTGTATGACCACTTTCCTTGCACCGACTACATGTCGATATATTCTTCTCTTCACCCTTAGAAGGTATACGATCGTGATTTTTTGGTCCGCCAGGTAGCCTTCTGTCAATGACTGGTGGCAAAACTGTTTGTAAGTCATCTGGTATGTCCCACTCAGAATGATGTGGAATATGGTAGACAATCTCGGCATAAGTCTGTCGATATACTTCTGTAGTGTAGCAATCCATAGCGTATGCGCTTGAATCATCTTGGTTTAGATGAAGAGCAATTTTTATAACATGGCCACACAAATAACCAGATGTTTGTCATTTCATACAACTACACGTCTTTGCATTTAGATCGACAACCCCATTTAAGTTATAATCCAAGACTTCAAACAAAGTGTTTGAACATGGTTCAACTCTCCATGACGTTGACTTCACAACACGTTTCATTATCTTTTTTTCAGTCCATGGTGCAACACGACGTTCCAATGTTCCTGTAATTTTAAATAAATAATACTTAGTAAAATCTATTAAATATGATAAGTTACGAATTTAAAGAAATAATACATGCATGGTTTCTTTTCTTATAGTACAACTGTTGAATAGAGGCTCGAAAAAACTCTATTAACATAGTAATGGGTAATTTTCGGGAATGACGACTTAGAGCGTTGATTTATTTTGCACTATTAGACGTCATGAAACCATATCTTACTCCAAGTTGATGTACTCTTGACCATCTTTCAAACCGACATCTTCTAGTGTTTGAGCACATTGAGGCAAAACACGTCTTAAACAATTTATATGCTTATTAAAATCCACTTCCCAATAAGCTTTTACAGCCTTTCAGTATGTCCATTTGTGATTTTTTATACCAACAGACCTTGATTTTAGATTTCTGTACAAATGAACACCACAAAGTCCATGAAAAGCATCTGGGAAACACCTTTTAATAGCGTTATCAATTGAGTTTGCCCTATCGGATATGATTGTCAGATTGCTAACAGGACCTATACAATCCTTAATATGCCCCATAAACCATGTCCATGAATCAGATGTTTCAGATTTGCCAACCCCGTAAGCTATTGGCAGTATCCCATTGTTAGCATCCATGGTTACTGCTAATAAGTTTGTTTCAAGGTATCAACCTTTCAAATGTGCTCCGTCAACTATAATAACTGGGTGCATGCAAGTAATAAACGAACGAATCTACAAAATAATATACACAAAAAATATAACCATTTAAATGTGAAATGCATGTAACTATCAAAAAAGAGTCAACAAAATTATATTGATTTACTAACTGCAGAACCAATGGCGATAAACAACAACTCAAAACGTCCATCTCTATCTGTTTTGATATGAGTTACCGACCTAGGATTTTTCAGCTTTAAATTGTGACAATAAGCCGGCAGTTGGGCAAACGATGCTTCTGGCGATCCCCTCAACAATTCCAATGCATAACATTTGGCTCTCCAAGCTTGAGAATATGAGATACTAATCTTGAACCAAGCATTCATGTCAATCATAATTTCATGACCCCGATATACCCTACCATTCAAAAACATCAACTCAACCAGAAAACCACCCAACACATTTTTGTTTGCCTGTCTATGGTGAGGAAAAGTTTGGGTTCTTAAACATGTATGTTTATCAATAAAAGTCCTAACTTGAAACATTTCGCAATCTTTTATCCTCTTTGCAATCATACGCCACGTATAGTTTTTGTCAATCCTACACTTTGTTTCGAAACGATCTTTGCTTGATTTGTTAACTTTTAGTTGATATCCATCTTCCACACATTTCGTATACAAAGCTATCTTCAAGTCTTCCTTTGTATCAAAACAATCATCTAACTTGATATGAATAACTTTTGTGTAACAATCAACTGCTATCTTTACCAACTCTTCTTTCGGTATCGGAAGTAATTCTAGCATATTTCAGTTATACTCCCGTGGCTCTTTCTTCTTCTTCTATTTTTTGGGGATTTCTTCTTCTTCTTCTTTTTCTTCAGGGTTATATGAATTACATAATGGATGTTCAACATGTTCATTCACAGCCGTAACTTCCTCCTCATTATCATCAACATCTTCCTCGGCAGCGGTTGTTTCATCATCAAAATTCGGGTATCGACCAATATCAAAATTATTATTGTAATAAGCAGGGTAAGTTTATTCTTCTTTATTTTTACCCCAAATCTGATCTGAAACATCATCAAAATCCGAGTATTGACCAAGATCAAAGTCCGGGTATTGACCAAGATCAAATTTCGAATACTGACTTGTACTCACATTTTTATCTGTTGGCTCATCATCGTCTAACTGGTCAATACGAAAACCAGAATTTGGGTCTGTAAATTGATTTGGATTTGGATTAGGGAAAGTTGTGGATTTTGAGATTGTGTTTGGTATTAGAAATGTGGTGCAACAAAATTTTCTTGGTGATGAAATTATTGTGGAACCATGAAATTTTGAGGTTAATAACAACATTGTACATTGTGAGCACCATAAACTGGGGTCGAAGAACTTAGTTGATTACTACCCGTTACTGACCCAACTTCATTACTTCTAGGTTCAACAACATACAATGTAACATCATCTTGCAAAACACTAATGTAAGCAATGAATCGTCCAACATCTTCATTGTCGGTTAACAAATAAACTTTACCCTTTCTCTGATAAGATAACCTAAATCCACTTAGAGGCTCTAAACTCAATTTCTTTGAAACACGTAACATTAGATTTTCATAAGTTAACTTTTTTAATGGCAATTTTAGTTGAAGATTCATGGGTAAAGGCATATATTGTAAAACACTATTAACATTCTCCCATGACCCTCCATAACACAAATCTATCCAAACATGATCAACATTAGATGATTGCATTCTACAAATTGTAAATAAAGTAATTTACTAAACAAACAAACTATAAACTAGATATCATCACTAACTTAGAGAAAAACATACATTTATTAAGTTGATACTTGATAATTGGGAGAGAAATCATTGAAAAAATATATAGAAATAAAATTATGTAAAAAAAATTAGAGATGGGGAAGGATGTTGTCGGATATGGGGACGGATGTCGTAGGAGAGAGTGAGAGATGGAGATGGATTGAGTTACGATTTAGGGGTTTAGGTTATGAGTTGTTGTTGCTGCGTAGTTTATATACCCAAAACATTTGTGTTCCGAAATTAAAAGTTGTGTTGTGAAATTAAAATTCGCGTTGAGAATTCAAAAAATCGAGTTGTGGAAACAAAATTCCTGTTGCGAAAATGAAACTCGCGTTACGAATTAGAATATCTTGTTGCGAAAAAGGAAACTCGTGTTGCGAAATTGTAAAATTCGAGTTGCGAATTTGACTTCTTTGTTGCGAATTCCAAATTTTGTGTTGCGAATTTGGAAACTGTGTTGTGAAATTGGAGTTCGTGTTGCGAATTCGAAATTAAGTTGCAAATTCGTTGATTATTTTTGCAAATAAAAAAAAATTGGTTAAAATCGTATATTATAAGGCATCAATCAAGAGACCATATTAAAAAATGCATATATTGATGGAAGAAACAGAGAAGCTCATTTAGATTGTAATGTTAACATAAGAATTTGTTGAACAATAGAAGGCAGACTAAATGGTGCACGCTATCGTGGCGACTAAGGGTTTGATAAGTCAGATTGAATGTCACTCCAATCAAAATTATTAGTTAAATAAATTTTGATTAATATATTATTTTACATAAAAAAAATTAATAGTCAATATTAATTAGATTGTTTTTAAATATTAAGTTCATGTTTAGGTTATTTTTTGGGCTCGTGGCTTTTTTTTGTTTGAGTTTTTAGGGGTTTGAACTATCTCAGGTTTGAATTTTTTTCGAGTTTATTTTTTTCAGGTTTGGACTTTTTCAAATTTGAGTTTTTTTAGTCGAATTTTTAAGTTTGAGTTCATTTTGTTACATCTAGTTGATGGCCAATTATATACTAACTATTTAGTTATCATGTCACGCCATCTTTTTAACGACATTTAACATTACATGATCAAAATGTATTTTTTCATAAATTCA